TTATGCCTTTCCGCCATTCAGCCTACTTTTTCAGACTCTCCTCAGGGTACGTCAGGAGGGGCACAGGGTCCTGCTGGTGGCCCCCTACTGGCCAGCGAGGACTTGGTTTCCTCTACTGTGCGAGCTCAGCTCCGGCTCGCCAATGCGTCTCCCCTCCAGGAGAGACCTTCTTTCCCAGATGGGGGGTCAGATCTTGCACCCCGAACCGGACCGGCTCCAGCTCTGGATTTGGCCCCTGCAAGGCCGGGGTCCACCTTCTCAAGATACACTGGGTCCATAGGGCATACAATGGCTAATGCATGGGCGCCGTCCACGCGAGCTGTCTATGCTAACAAGTGGACGGTCTTTGCGACCTGGTGCCGTGATAGAGGGCAGGACCCGGTGCAGTGCTCAGTTTCTGACATACTCACCTTCCTGCAGGCATTGCTGGATCAAGGACGGTCCCCATCTACCTTAAAGGTGTATGTGGCTGCCATTTCCTGTTGGCATGTTGGGCTGAATGGTTGTTCTGTGGGCCGAGACAAGGATGTTGTACTGTTTTTAAGAGGTGCTCGGCGTTTGCACCCACCCAACCGCCCTGTGGCACCGGCGTGGGACCTTTCTCTTGTGCTTGAGGCTCTTCGGTCCCTCCCATTTGAGCCCCTGGCGTCGGCGGACCTCAAATGGCTCTCACTGAAGACTGCGTTCCTTTTAGCTATGGTTTCCGCAAAACGTGTAGGGGAGTTACAGGCTCTCTCGATAGCCGAACCCTGCTGCCGGTGGAATCCTGATGGCTCAGGCGTTACACTGTGGGCTGATGTAGCATTTATTCCTAAGGTATCACTGCCAGCAGGCAGCACCCAGCCTCTCCATCTTGCCCGGTTTGACTCCGGAAGTCCCTCTGAACCACTGTGTCCTGTCCGTGCCCTTGAGACATACATCAATGCCACGGCATCCTTCCGAAAGACAAATAGCCTTTTTGTTTGCTACGCTGGCTCACGGAAAGGTCAGGCACTTTCTAAGCAGCGACTTGCACACTGGGTTGTGGATTTGATCTCCAAGGCTTATGCCTTGCAGGACCGGCCACTGCCGGCGGGAGTGAAATGCCACTCTACAAGGGGCATGTCGACATCGTTTGCTGCTATGACTGGGGTGCCATTGGATGTTATATGTCGTGCGGCCTCCTGGAAGTCACCTAGTACCTTTACTCGGTTCTACAGGGTGAATGTGGCTGCGCCCCATCCGCTTCAGGGAATCCTCGAGCAGCATGCCTCTACATCACATTAGGTGGGTGGTGTAGTCGTTGTTCCTTGAATGTTGCTGATTCCTCGTGACCTTGTTGATATGAGTCATCCAGTGCTTGAAGCACCGCCTCTGGCGGTCAGTAGGGATGAAATAGAACGAAAGTTACTACCGTAACTACGGTTCTATGAATCCCGGATGACCGCCAGAGTGCTTGGTCCCTCGGAATCTCTGCTTTCGCGAGAAGATTGAGGGATTGATTGCCGGGTGCCACGTGACTATATAGAGTCACGTGGGTCCCCGGCAGGTCACAGCTGACTTTGTTGTCATTAATACTCGACCTGCGCATGCGCAAGAATGATCATTCAGTGCTTGAAGCACCGCCTCTGGCGGTCATCCGGGATTCATAGAACCGTAGTTACGGTAGTAACTTTCGTTTTCCTTAGATAGAAAACTTTGAATCAATTTGACTGTATGATCTCGTTGAACTGTAAAGTGCCTTGAGATGACATGTGTTGTGAATTTGGCGCTATATAAATAAACTGAACTGAATTGAACTAATAGGTGATATATATCTAATAACAAATCTAATCTACAAGACTTGCCAGATTTGATACTTAATAATGCAGCTTGACTATCTGATGCAATAATATATTTATTTTCCTCTTTAACATTTTCATCAACCAACCCTTCTAAAGCTATCATAATGGTATCAGCCTACTTTAGAAGCAGAAAACAAGATAATGAGAGGCTGCGCTATCGCCCCCATGTGGCATGGAATGAAAACTCCAACAAAACGAATTCTTCTTCTTTTCTATTATGGCAGATCACAAGCATCTTTAAGTTGCATACTGCCACCTACTGTACATAATGGTGTAGCGGCATTACATCAAATTCTATTTTTTAATTTAGTATTCTGTAAATAAATTAATAGTGCTTTCTTTAATCAGTGAATATTATTATTTTATTTCCTTCATTTCCCAATATTCCATTAAGACTCCATTATTTGCCTGTCCTCAATTTCTCCCTTTCATGTTAATAAGTTTTACATTTAATCAGTACATCTTCTACATTCTCTTTTTTTCCACATCATTCACATTTATCATTATTTTTCCTCCCTATTAAATATAAATTGTAATTTAAATAGGTATGACCCACTCTTAATCTGATGATTATTACTTCTTCCTTTCTGGATGCTGTCCAGGTTTCAGTCCATATCGGTCTCCGCCAAGTGACGTCAATTGTTTACCTCGGGCGCGGTACACTATGCCTTTTACACCTAAAATGGCGTCTTAGCAACAAATGTCACGTGACTGGCGGAGACCGATTTTCCTAAATCCGCCCCTGTTTTCAGGCTTATGTTAACTGTAATGACTTATCTTGGACAGGCTGCTATGTAAACAGGCCTTTAGTCCTTCGTTTAGCTATGCTGCGGTTGTTTACACTACACCTTTTCCACCTAAAACGGCGTCTTAGCAACAAAAGTCACGTGACTGGCGGAGACCGATTAGACAATGACGCACATCCTCTCCACGACACACTGGTCCAGCAGACGAGCTCCTTCAGCAGAAGACTCCTCCTACCCAGATGCACCACAGAGTGCCACAGGAAATCATTCCTACCTAAGGTCATCAATCTCTATAACGCCTCCCTCAAGTGATTCAGCCCCACCCCCCACAATTGACATTTATGCACTATTTTGGCACGCCACATATCACTTTACTTGGATTTATCACTTTACTTGGATTTTCACTGTATTTGGATTTAGTTTTTACATATGCATAGATATACGTACAGATATACAGAATAGCTATATGTGTATATATTTTATCCCCTTTTATTCTTATTTTTTTATCTTTATTATATTGTATAGTTGGATGTGTGTATATATTATATAAAAATGTAACTGGGATTATTAAAGTATTTCTGATTCTGATTCTCTCATTAATGATTCTATTTAATACTGATTTTTGGACATTATATAATCCTCTTCCTTTTCTATCTTCATTCCATCTCTTTTGCCATTTTTCCATTTCTTCAATCTAAAAAAGTGATTTACCTTTCCCAAAAGGAATTGTAATGGTTATTGTTCCGTCTTGAGCCCTTTTTGCTCATATTTCTGCCTTTTAACCAAATATCAATCCCACCGCTATAGACTGTACTGGATTTCTAATACTAGATATTTTCTATCATTTCCTTCTCCCTGAATGATTTCTAAAACTTCTTTGGAATCTGTAAAGACCACCACCCTGTCTGGTCTAACCTCCTCCACCCATTCTGTAAGCTTAATATAATTACCAACATTTCCATGATTCTTCTTCTTCTTTATAATGGCGGTTGGCAAACAACTATTTGTTGCATTTCGCCACCAACCAGTGAGGATTGTGGATCAGAACACGTGCTCAAAATAAATAAACAAACAAATAACTAAATAAAAAATAAAATAAAATACTAATTGATTATATAGCCTATATGTTTCCAATAAATAACAGAGATAATCTTATAGGCTGTATCATAAGTATTTTTCCTTAAAATGTTTATAAGATTAAACTGCTCTTTTTCCTGTTCAAGATTCCTTCTCACCTGTATTTTTTGTCTCTCATACTTCCTACAGCTATACATTACATGTTCTGGCAAATAATGATCAAAGGAGGGAGGCGGGTAAATGGATTTCTTCCCATGTTATGGAGGGGGAATTGTTATGTGTGATAGCATGTAGTCCACTAGAAATGTCCTTAATCCAGTAATCTGTCATATTTTACATTAGAACAGGATTTAGCAGAAAATCTACACTCTCATCTCCCCCCTCAGGGCTAAGCCCCCCGATCCCCTAGAATCCTAGATCCGCCCCTGGTCACCAGTTAAGATGTTCACCAGTTAAAGTGGAACAATGGGCAAAAGTGTGCGTTTAGTGAGCCAAGTAGAAATGATTGAATATTCCAAAGCTTTGAGCAACATTGTGAGGAGTGCATTGAAGCTCTGAAACAGTCAGTGCAGCGTCTTAACGCGCGGGAGGCGAACCTGCAGGCTACTAAAGCCTTGGATGAACAGCTGCTGATGGAGAAACACAGCTGGACACAGCAGCCCCGCTCCCATTGAGTCCCTCACAGACTCTCCCAGTTTCAAATAGAAGCTTGAGATGCTGCATGTGGTGGAGAATGATGCGCCTGATGGTGGCAGAAATAGCGAAGATCGGGAACGCCTCTCTGATCCCTGCTCCGAACGAGGATCAGGAAGCCAGTGATCTGGGAGGATATGACAGCTATATGGACAACTTTAGCAGCTAGGTTGTTATTAACCTGTCAGTTACTTCTAGAACACTAAGAATAAATAAGAAATTAGAAGGAATAATCAACAATAACCATCCATCCATCCATTTTCTTTACACGCTTGTCCCGAGTGGGGTCGCGAGGGGTGCTGGTGCCTATCTCCAGCAGTCAATGGGCGAGAGGCGGGGTACACCCTGGACAGGTCGCCAGTCTAACAATAACCTCTATATCTAACTTTTAGTGAGAGTCGCTGAGTTCCCGCCGGTTACTAGGGCAACAGCTGTCCTCGAAATGAGGAAGAGGAAGGTTAAACCAAAAGACATCCAACGGTCTAATTCTATGACGTCACATAGCCACGCCTCCTTTACATTTCGTGACCCGCCTAGTCTGTCCAGGTAATCATTCCACTGAAGCCATTCTTACAGTGACCTCTGCTCGGACTGCATGTTGTTTGTTGACTACCTGCTGGAAAACCAAAACAGAACAGAAATGTCTGAGTCAAGACAAGAAATGAAAAACCACATTTACATCGCCACTGGAAACTTGGAGGAGATTGTCCAACCCATGCTGGGAACGCTGTCACCAGCCCAGTGGGCCTTGCTTTCGCAGGGTCTATCGGATTCCCAAATAACAACAGTCCTGGGAGATATTATCACCACCATTTTTCAGCAATGTGTGGAAAATGCATTGAGGATCCTTATTCCACAGACTGGAGAGAATCTGCAGCCTGGTGTAAAGACCGCAACCCCAACGGAAAGTATCCGAGTGAGTTTGACCAACATGATTTCAACAGAAATCGCAAATGTCCTGCATGTTGAACCCGAATTCTGTCCTGAAGGCGAGGAGTTAAACATCTTAATGCAAGAGGAGATCTCTAGTAAAGTTACATCCCTGACCAATGAAATGTTAAAGTCCCCCAATTACCCTGAGGAATCTGCAGTATACGTGAGCCGACACTTTACCAACTGGAAAAACTACGTCAAAATGATCCAAAATACATTGAAATGTGTTCAACAACATATAAACAGAGTCAAAACTGGATGTTTTGTCAAATATTCGAACACATTCATGACAAAACAGGCAACACCAAAAGCAGAGACCACACCTGACTTTTCAGAGACAAGAAGTCTTTTAAGCATAAAAAGTCACTTTGACCAAAGAACAGCTACTAAGAGCATTTTTCAGATATTAACTAAACATACAAAAGACCTTCCTGATGTTGATTCCACTGAATTATTGCATCTGTCAGAGGAAATCCGCCAAACTGTTCACAAGGACCTTCATTACTGTATGTCAGACGATTCAGCTGCGAAATGTTCATGCATCCCACATATTAACATCCTAACAGTTATGAATATGATCAGCCGCTTTTTCCTATGCCACAGAACTGCTCCAGGTAACAAACAGTCAGAAACAACAAGCACACGAGAATTTTCCAAGTTTATAGCGGAGCAATTCAGAATCATGGTATCTTCTTTGGAAAAATCGCTGCATTCAACTGAAAAACTGGTAAAACTGGAAAATGACTGTTCATCTAACGGATGGAAATGGATCATGTTAAATGAATGCATTTCAGAGCTTTCGCTGGTCGACGACAGCACACAAGCGCTAAAGATCGACGGCACGGACTGCTTTCTCCTGATGTATTTGAATTGCATAAAACCTCAAATTATGCAGTTGTGTGCAGAACCCATGGAAAACCCATTACTGAATGAGACGACCCAAAAGTTGGAACGGGAGCTGACAGACAAATTATATTTCTACTTACTGGGGGGCCATTTTCATCCACCTCTTGTTCGTCCAAAACGAAAATTTCTTTCAGACTCTGTCCTCTCTTTACAGAAAGTAAGAGACATTTCTGGCCAGATCCAAATTAGCCCTGATGTCTTGTATGCCAGAACACAAGAGGAGGTGAGGATGTTTCTCCATAATGTCTTTCTATGGAAAACAGGGGAAACTAATAAGTTTCAGCAAAGTTTCAGCAAAAGGGTTTGTGATGTGGTCTCAGAGATCTGTGAAATGGTTAAAGAAATATGTGATACATCAGCCAAAATCCAAAGCCCAGAAACCCATTCTCTGAAACTCAGCGAGCCAGAAAACAAGGACTCTATCCTCATGGAAACAGATCTGATAAATGAGGAAGACGGAGGGTGCGGTGTGGTCTGGGACTTTGAGGATACGGTTGTACAAAGCCCGTATACACCAGACCAACCGCAAATCCAGGAAACCAATTCTCTAAGTTCCAGGACGCAAGGAAATGAGGACTCCACCCCAGATGCATTTGGATGTTTGGCTGCCTATTCTTCATTGGAAAAAAAGGCTACATTTTTGCCTGATTCTGTGGAGCTGACAAGGAAAAGGTTTCAAGGCAAGAAATTAAGCAAAGATCCGTTTCCAGAATCAGATCCGTTTCAAGAATCAGATCCGTTTCCAGAATCAGATCCATTTCCAGAATCAGATCTGTTTCAAGAATCAGATCCGTTTCCAGAATCAGATCCATTTCCAGAATCAGATCCGTTTCCAGAATCAGGGTTTATGCCTAAGAGATGTGTTGATAAGTCGACATCTGATTTAGATTCTAATGAAAAAGAACTAGACAAAGATTTGGCATTTCTGGTAATGATTGCAGTTTTAAAATGCCTGAAGAAACAGGGTGGACCCCTGAGTTCCAAAGAAATGAAGCAGATCTTGTCTAATATATCAGGAAAGGAAATTGTTAAAATAGAAGACTTTACTTCTGCTGAAAACAATGAAAACATGAAAAAAGTTGTTAGAGACATCTGCAAAGAACTTGAAAATGAGTTTGGTTCACCTGAAATGGAACGTAACGCCATTATAACACAGCCTGTTTGTCCTATTCAGAGTGTTGTTCTACAATATTTAGAAAGTCATCGTCCCAAACCAAGGAAATCCCCACTTCGCAGGTTCATCTCAGCTTTTAAAAAACCTTTTAAGAACCTGTTGTTCCTAAAGAAGTGAGGGTCTACTTCCTGCTTCACACATACACAACCTCACCTATTTTTTTCTAATTTTAGCTTTTTATTTCTGGGCTTTCTTTGTTTCTTCACTTTTTTTTTTTTATTCCTTTAGAAAAACATTTACTTATTAGATATTTTATTTGATTTTATTCTAAATGTTCCCCTTCCTTTTACAGGGGAACATTTAGAATAAAACCATCACTTCTATTTTAGGACTTTCTTAGTTTAGGTTTTTTCTCCGGGTACTCCGGGTTTTCCTTTGAAAACACAATTGTCTAATTAGACATTCAGAATAAATAAATTACTTGAAATCTTAATATGTATTTTAAATCTAAATCTAGATTCAAAATCTAAATATATTTAGAGGGTTGCTCCTAATCATTCCTAACTAGCTTTTACCACAATGAACTCTATATGCTAAAGTATAAAATAAAAAAATAAAAAAAAAAAATATATATATATATATATATATATATATATATATATATATATATATATATATATATATATATATATATATATATATATATATATATATATATATATATATATATTAGAAAAAAAAGTAAATCCCTTTATTGTCCCACAATGGGGATATTCGCTCTCTGCATTTGACCCCAAAAATTGAATAACCTTAAAATTAGGTAATGTTTAAACAAAACTTTTTTCCTCAGCAAGATAAACAAAAATAATATTCTACAAATATTATTTGAAAAAAAGGGATTGAACAATTAAGAAGCTTCTATCTGAAACTCCAAATATAACCCAAAGCTAAAGAAACAGATTTTAAAATCTTAAATGCTATCTACCCCTCCAAAGAATTACTAAGAATTTGTTTCACCATTGATGATAACAGATGCTCAGTTTGTGAAATTAATCTAGAAACAACAGACCATATTTCTATGAATGCTACAAAACTAAAATATTTTGTTAAAACTTAGAAAGATTTACGCTGTGCTGCATCATCATGGAGACACGGCTGCTATGGCAGCCCACTGCTCCCCAAGGGGATGGGTTAAATGCAGGGTGTTCATTTTGTTGCTCTGTACTTGTGAAAATGTAATGACAATAAAATACTGTGGGAAAAAAAATTTAAACATTTTCTTGCCCACTTTACATTTTGTCAGAAATGACTAATTTTCACGACACGCAAAGGTATCCGCTATGTCAATAAGTCTGCTTTATGCCGTGTATTTTAGAGTGACAACCAATGTTTTTTTCAGACAGTCGAATATTAACATTTTGTTGTTTTCTTTCCCAAAATGTATTCAAATTTTTAGCAGTTTAAACAAACATCTTAATTAATATACAGAATATAACCACAGCAGTAGTAGTGTTATTGTTGAAGTCAAAATAAAATACAATCAAAAAGAAAAACATCAGATTTCCTCACACAATATTGGTTCCAATGCAACTGATCACATTTTGTACTTAACTTCTTATACTGAGAATTACATTTAACAGTTTATGTCCTCAAATAAATTGTCTTTGGGAACTGCAGTTCACTTGTTTTTCAATCACTTTTTTAAATCTCTTCTGAGATATTCAAATACTTGACATAATTAATGAAGGTTATTCCAGATTCAACAGGCCCTTTAATATATACATCATTTTTTCCAGAGGGAGGACAGATAACATCTGCTGCAGCCATTGGTTTATAGCCGGTCTGTGAGGCTTTTTCCAAAACATTGATACACATGTCAACATTTTGTTGTTTTATATATTCTGAAAAATCAAGTTTTGTGATAATGCTTCTAATGTTGAAGCGGAAAGCACTTTTCTCTGTACTTCCACATTACAAGTTAAAAAGGCATTCAGTAAAAGTTTTTGACCTGATGCTTTTAAACAAGTATTGGCTCTTCAGGAAATTCTAGAGCAGTTGCTAGAAGTAAATGCGGTTTTATAATTGTTACCTTGTATTTTGGATAGTAAAATATGTCGTTTTTACCAAGCTTCATGTTTATTAGTATCCATTCAGCAATTACATTTATCTCACATGTCTGTCAGTAACACTTATCAAGTAGAATAGTGCCTCCTCTGTAGACATAGTTAACTCTCCTAAAACAAGAGATACACTATATTGCCAAAAGTATTTGCTCACCTGCCTTGACTCACATATGAGCTTAAGTGACATCCCGTTCCTAATCCATAGGGTTCAATATGACGTCGGTCCACCCTTTGCAGCTAGAACAGCTTCAACTCTTCTGGGAAGGCTGTCCACAAGGTTTAGGAGTGTGTTTATGGGAATTTTTGACCATTCTTCCAGAAGCGCATTTGTGAGGTTGCACACTGATGTTGGACGAGAAGGCCTGGCTCTCAGTCTCCGCTCTAATTCATCCCAAAGGTGTTCTATCGGGTTGAGGTCAGGACTCTGTGCAGGCCAGTCAAGTTCATCCACACCAGACTCTGTCATCCATGTCTTTATGGACCTTGCTTTGTGCACTGGTGCACAGTCATGTTGGAAGAGGAAGGGGCCAGCTCCAAACTGTTCCCACAAAGTTGGGAGCATGGAATTGTCCAAAATGTCTTGGGATGCTGAAGCATTCAGAGTTCCTTTCACTGGAACTAAGGGGCCAAGCCCAGCTCCTGAAAAACAACCCCACACCATAATCCCCCCTCCACCAAACTTTACACTTGGCACAATGCAGTCAGACAAGTACCGTTCTCCTGGCAACCGCCAAACCCAGACCCGTCCATCAGATTGCCAGATGGAGAAGCGCGATTCGTCACTCCAGAGAACGCGTCTCCACTGCTCTAGAGTCCAGTGGCGGCGTGCTTTACACCACCGCATCCGACGCTTTGCATTGCACTTGGTGATGTATGGCTTGGATGCAGCTGCTCGACCATGGAAACCCATTCCATGAAGCTCTCTGCGCACTGTTCTTGAGCTAATCTGAAGGCCACATGAAGTTTGGAGGTCTGTAGTGATTGACTCTGCAGAAAGTTGGCGACCTCTTCGCACTATGCGCGTCAGCATCCGCTGACCCCGCTCCGTCAGTTTACGTGGCCTACCACTTCGTGGCTGAGTTGCTGTCGTTCCCAAACACTTCCATTTTCTTATAATACAGCTGACAGTTGACTGTGGAATATTTAGGAGCGAGGAAATTTCACGACTGAATTTGTTGCACAGGTGGCATCCTATCACAGTTCCACGCTGGAATTCACTGAGCTCCTGAGAGCGACCCATTCTTTCACAAATGTTTGTAAAAACAGTCTGCATGCCTAGGTGCTTGAATTTATACACCTGTGGCCATGGAAGTGATTGGAACACCTGATTCCAATAATTTGGATGGGTGAGCAAATACTTTTGGCAATATAGTGTATGTCTGAAAACCTCTCTCCAAATAGTTGTTCAACAGGGCATTGGTCTGCTTCCAATGTAGTAACAATGTGTTTTTGTTATCCATACCCGTGGAAGTAATACAAATATTCAACAATTATTTAGTCTACGAAACATTAGGTGAACACCTTTAATTGCAGAGAGCTGGATAACTGTGGAAAGTTGACCATCTGCTTCAGCCTGATGATTGGAGGACAATGAAAAAACACAATTAAGACAACAGTTTCAAAATATAGACACACAAATCAACACACCAGGTTGTTATATCACTCTTGTTAACCGTGTTCCTGTTGAGCTCTAAATATTCAGTGGCAAAAGATAAATCTTTTATAAAATAGAGAGATAAGGACACCAACCCTCTAAAATCCCTTGTTACATTGTCAAAAGAAATTAAATCTGTGTGGATATAATGAATATGAGATAATATCTCGTAATTATGAGATAATATCTATATATTTGGTTATGCTTACTTGAGTCTGTAATGTAGAATCTCTCACAAAACTGGTCTTCATGATTACTTGTTAAGAATATCTGCATCTGTTCCACTGAACAGTTCTCTGCAGGTCTAACATGATATGCGTTGGAGTTCCGCT